AAAAAAGGCAACTGAAAGCATCCAGCAGATTTTTGGTACTGAAGAGAACTGTACCAATTCCTGAATTTTAAATTAATTCAGTGTGGTGAATTTGCACGTGCGTGTTCCCCCATATTGGAAATACACAGCAGCACCTTCAGCCTCCTGATGAACGCAAAAGGATGCAAATCTCTGAAAGGCGATCGTTAAGTGCTACTTTACTGTAGAACGTGAATTGCAATTGATTTTGAACAAACAGCCACTTAATTAAAATGTGTTCTTTCCTGTAGGTGAGAATACAGGAGACGGTGAGTTAGATCTGAGCGGGATCGACGACAGTGAAATAGATCGGGTAAGGTGCCCTCTTATCCCGGCTCTCTCTGCATTTGGATGTCTGAGAATGAAAAATGATTCTTATCTGGTTTATCCTCTCGCCTCACTGCCTCTTCGCTCTGATCTATGGAGAGGTTCAGGTGATTTCAGTGATCTGAGATCAAAACCAAGGTTCGTGCAAGCCTGTGAATTTGGTGTTCCTTGCCCATTTTTTATATAGATGGGACTCTGCTGCCACTTGCTCTTACCGTGCTGGAGTAATTATGTTTTAGAATGCCTTTTATTCTGTGGAAGGACTTTTGAAAGTTTGGTGGAGCTCTAAATTCATTATTTAATTAAGATATATTCAACATAAGAGGCTGCCATGGAAACCAAACTGTAAAACCAGCTGGTACAGCTTCTGCATTCTTCCAAAGATTTCTGTAGTGTTTTCTGGATTTATTATTATTTGTGTGGCAGTGAAAGATCCCCTTTACCATATAGCCTGAATATGATAGACAGACAGCTGTGGAAAAGGCAGCCACACAGCAGGTCAACGCTTGAACGCGCAACGGAGTCTGGCTCTCCTGACTCCGAGCCTGATGCCCTCTCCAGCCACCACGCCGGTTTAAAGCATAATATGAATAGATAACGCCAATGCTAAAAACTACTTTTAGGGTACAAAATCATTGAGAGCGATGAGGTTGCGTAGGGGTTACTGATCTGCGGAACATTGTTCGAGATGGATGAAAGAGCAGGAGAATGAATGCTCAGCTTGACTTCAGCTATGAAGCAAGATTTGCTAGGCTGGGCGTTAGGAAGGGTCTTGTGAATTGAGTGGACGTGGTGTAGAGGGAGCAGAGAGGCTGAATGTTTTCATATAGCAGGTCCATAATTTAAACCATCGCAGGGGAAGAACAAGCACATTTTCTCCTCCTCCTAGGCTCTGTGATGAGGTCATAACTCTGCTTTTATGACCTCATGTTCATTGCCATGGCAATAGGCTGTAATATTGTAAGCCCAAGATTACAAACCCTCTACATCCATAAGAAGGATGAATAACTGAGCTAGAAGGAAGCAAGTTTTACTATTATGGCCCACTTTTAATAGAAGCAGATGAAAAAGTGAAAATATTGGTCTGATAAACCAGGACTTGCACAGCTGTTTGCTTGCCTTGTTTGCCCTCGGAGGAAGGACTCCTCCCTGCATTAGGTTCGCTTGACTGGACTTATTTGTCTCATAAAATCCTATGTGTGCATTTTACTTTGGAGAAAATCTCAAAAGCTCAAAACCATAAGATGGAGAAATCACAAATGTTTTACAAGTCTGGGGTCCACTGCTTAAAAATAAAGTGCCTCGTTCGTGAGAAATGACCCAATTTGTCATCTCTGGTGTTCAGAAGTTCTTCACTCCCAAATGTCATCAGCTGTAGAGAGCTTCTGTTTCACAGACAGTTGTGCTAAATACTGGCTTTATTTTTATATTTAAGTAATTGAAGAGGAGATCTATCTATCCACCAGCTTACCAGCCTTGCTGCTACCTACCTGCCTACGTGTTTGTTTATTTCTGTAATTTATCTGGATAGTTCTAGGTATGTTACACAGCTCCACACGACTAGTGTGATTACCAAGACTAAGTCTAGTTAACTGAAAAAAGCCTAGATGTGGTTACTGAACCCAGCTATCTAAAATCTAGAGGGCTAAAACTCCAGTGATCTCAGCTGGTTTCATTCACACAGATGTGGCCATTGATCTAAGAATCTCAGCAACTATGCCTAAACCTTCACAGAAACCTACCCATAAGACACATGTTTCTGTTCTGGTAGCACAGGGCAATGGTTCCCATACTGCTTTGAATTACAGACCACCATGAACACGCAGAATTACTTGCAGACGACCATGTTGTCATGGTGCTCAAATCATCTGAAAAAGATCATAAACCCAGGATCATTTTTAGGCTAATTACAGACCACGTACAGTGAGTCCTGGATGGCTGTTGGTCACCCCATCATAGTCTGGAAACCGAGCACTGTTTTTGAAAACATGCCGTTGTTTTTTGCTGGCTTTAGAAGTGACTAGAAATGCTCTCTGATTATCACATCTCAGTCATATTTTCTTTTGTTAATGTATTTTTAAAAACAGAATATGAATTGACCTTGCCAGTGGTTTTTCAATTCGGTTTTGCTGTATGGCTTTTAAGTTGATTTCTGAAAGTAGATAAACTTGTTTTGTCTTTTAGTATATACTTAACGAAGCAGAAGCTCAGATAAAAGCAGAGCTGTGGATGAAAGAAAACGCAGATTATTTGAAGGAGCAAAAAGGTAAGTATATAGGACTGAAATTCTCCTTTTGGCCAGTGTTGCTGAAATATGCATTCTGTGTAATCTTCATGCTGGTTACCCTTTTGTCATCTTTCAGAAAAGGAAGCAAGAATAGCAAAAGAGAAAGAGCTTGGGATTTATAAGGAACACAAGGTATTAAACTGTGTGCTAATTGTGTCTGTTTGAAAATGTCCTGGAAAATCATTACATTTGCTGATCAACTCCTCGTAGGATGTATGGGCATAATGGTGCAGGTCACCACGAAATAGGCAAAAGCTATTGTATCTCTACCTGTTATTGAAATAGAAGGCTATAATTTTTCAGGTGGTGAGTAAAACACTTTCTTGCCCAAACTTTTGGTTTAAATTACTATTGTGAGAAAGTTCTGTGCGTGGCAAAGTCAGAGCTGGCTCTTTGCATTTATGATTGCTGTCCTAATTGCTTGCTTATTTAAATACAGGTATTAGAGCATGCCTAATTTTTTTTTAAGGTGTGCATGGGGAATTTGTTTGTACTTGCCGTAACTTCAGTAGCTTTCTTTGCTCTTACAATAATGATTTCTTTATGAAGAAGTGAACAGATCCTTGTTACAGTCACTTGAAGGAGTATTTTGTTCTACTTTCATAAAGAATGCGACAGTTATGTTAACAAATGGCATGTCCTGTCTCCATGTTTAGCAGTTTAAAGCAGCCTAATTGGCCATATATTCACGATTTACGGCATTAGTATTTTGTGTAATTGAGCAAGTGACAAGTCAAATCTTCCACATGCAACTAAAATCCATGTTAGTTTTTAGTGCGTGTATCCTCTATCTTTTTTTCTGACTAATGCGAAAGACAGAGTTTCCTACTTCCCCTAGGTATTTCAACAATAAAAACAAAACCAGACAATGAAACACTGTTTTATGCTTCAGAGTTTCTCATTCATCCTGCACTTACGAGACGTGGCAGTATACCAGCAATTTTCAAAATTGTATAACTCTTTGGCACCGCCAAGGAGCCCAAACACCCACCTTTTTGTTCGGACAACACAGGAGTTTTTCTCTAACTCTGTATTGTTTCTGACAGCTCGAGTAGAACTTGATTAATATAGTGCTTTCCAGTTTCAAGGTAGCACTTGACCCATGTAGGTAAACAGAGGGGCTATTATCCATTAAAAAATAAATCTCCTGCAGAGCTTGGTGTTAAAACCTTTCTTTGAAAAGGAAAATGCTGAATGAGAAACAGAGGTCCCTTTTTTTTATATAGCTACCCAGACATGGGACACGGCTGGAAACGTTCTCCGGTGTCATTTCTCTTTGTCTGGGTCTGCACAGCATCAGCCTGGGCAGCGCAGCGCTGGGCTTGGGCTCGCAGCGTTTGCCCGGGAAGGGCAGATGCAGGTGACATTGCTGCTGCGCCCGCGTGTCTGCAGCCTCCTGCATCCCATCCCTTGGTGTTACTGCCGGTCCGCACTTGGGAAGCTGCTGCTAGTAGTCTTGGCCTTTTTTAGTGTGGACGGGGATTTGGGCAGATGCTCTCCCACGCAGCGTTTGGACGTGATATGAAATAGCATTGCCGTTTCGATACGGAGTTGTCAGTGCTTAGGGGAGTCGTGACCCAGCTTGACTCTTCACTTTAAAGGCAATTTTAGCAGGGGAATTTCTTTATTTCTCTGCTGGGTGATGCTATCAGGGCCCCTGTTCCCGCAACATGAGTTCACTCTATTTTTTTCATGCGTGAGAAGTGGCCCACGTTTCTTCTCTGGCCGCGTTACAAATACTAAGTAAAGAATTTGTAATAAACTGCGTGGGCATTTGGCAAAAAGCGAACACTTATCTCTCAGAGAAAAGAGACCTCTCGGTCCCCTTGAGTGGCAGGGGGGGGGGCGCCCGGCCGCGGCGCCTGCGTCCCCGCATCAGCAGCACCTGAGCCAGGGCTGCTGAACTGCAGCTCGCCCTTCTGCTTCACGGAAACTTTGTTTGTATCTACATCACTAATTTTATATTTTAATTAAGCCAAAGAAATCTGCAAAGAAGCGGGAGCCAATTCAAGCCAGCACAGCAGGAGAGGCAATTGAAAAGATGTTAGAACAGAAGAAAATCTCAAGTAAAATTAATTATAATGTGCTAAGGGACCTGAACAGCAAAGGAAGTAACACACCAAAGAAAGAGGATGACAGCACTGATGACAGCACCAACACCAAGAAGCTGTCAAGAAGAAAATCTATTGCCAGTAGGAATATAGCCAACCCTGTAAACAGTGTGGGAAAAAGGTACTGCAATTGTTCATTTATATCTCTCTCTGTGAGACTGTCTATGTATCTTTCTGAGCCAGACAATGGAGGGACCGAAACATTTGTTTGAGGCTAAAATAATGTCGGGGCTCTGTTTTTATTTATTTTGCCTGTAGTGTCGCGGCAGCACCTTATTTATAGTTCATATATCAGAGGTCTGCTTTGGTGTGAGTTAATCATCCTGAAGCCGAAAAAGAAAAAATCAATGGAAATCCATAAACGTGAATCTTTCAGCTGGGGACACCTTTTCTTCATATGCTCCTGACATTTGCTCTCCTTCCTTTCTAAGTTGTCTGTGTCAGCTGACACAACGCTAAATGTTCGAAAGCTTTGGCTTTTTGCTTGATTCGAAAAATATAGTTCCCATCTGTTTTGACAGCTAACTGTTTTGATTAGCTTTTATTTTAGTTTTATTCCAAACTTTTGTTGTTAATTGATGACACAAATATAAAGCTTTACAGTAAATATGCTTGTCGGTTTTCTGGTCTGCATTTGCAAATATTTTATAGTGTGCTGAAAGCCACTATTTTAGTGATTAAAATATTTGACTTGCTGGGCAGATTTGTACTGTGCTGTGAAGTGTATAAGGAGATTGATGTGTCCTATCCACAATATTCAACTATTTTATTCATCTTCACTTTATGAAATCGTGTTGGATGATAATGTGAATTGTGTCTATGTATAGTAACTTCTTGCTTAGAGATGTTATATATTTACTGCCTAAAATACATAGGTTTTTTTGCTTCCAGAAGCATAGGCCCGATGCCACAAGGAAATTCAAGTATTTAATTCTGAAATGTAAGAAGATTGCTCCATAGCTCAGATTTAGCATTCCTCTTCGGCAGCTGGACTGAAGATTTTACATGGTTTATCATTTGTTCAATAGGATTTCTGGGGCTTTTGACTTGAAAATTTTTTCATTCTGACTCCATTCTAGGAAGTTAGACTTGATCCTTGTGAGTCTCTTCTAACTCGAGATATTCTGTCATTCTATGATTCTATACGTTGCAGCCAAGAGCAGGTAAAGGACCGGGAATGGTGGGAGGGCAGCCAGCTGCAAGGTCCGAGAAGTCATCTATTCGTGCAAGAATGGGACGTAGGATACTTGAAAACATGAAGCTGGGAGGGATAGTAAGTGCACATCCCCCAGAAACTAAGCAAAATAAGGATGACGAGACCCAGCCTCTTATTTTGACCTCATTTGGCAGCAAGGCCAGAGGCACAGTCTTTAATTTTGGCTGACAAGCTAAATGCCAAAGCCAAGTAGTGTAAGCTTTGGCTTTGGCATTTGGCTTGTTAGCCAAAATTGAAGACTGCACCGCTGACCCCACTGTCACTGGGATACAAGTTTTTGCAATATACAAAACATCTTTTCTTTCTCTGCTGTACCGTCTTTATTCTGTATTTTACTAAGATAGCTTCATCCTTGTTCAGCTTCTCACTCTTAATATCAACAGCTTTGCTTTCCAGTTCTTGACTTGCTGTGGATTTTGGTCTCCTCTGTAAGTTGCTTCTCGAGGTGATCTCTAAGGACCCAAGCACATACGTTTTTCACTAGTGGAGGAAAGTGAAGATGCATTGAGGATTAACTAACAGTATTTAGTGGATTATGCTTTATTTGGATTTAACAAGTATTAATGAGTCAGATTTCTGGTATTTCTAGTAAAATTTGGCCAAGTCAGTTGTCTGAAATGCAATGCTGCAATGGAAAGTAGGACCTGGTCAGGATCCTGGTTGCATTTCATAGCTCAGCAGTTACATTCACGTTTGAGCTGTTTCGCCACATCCCAACCTTGTCATTTCTGAGGTTTGCAGAAATGTTGGGCACTCGGAGCTCCTGTTGAAGTCAGCATGTTAAACTCTTAACAGGTGTTAAACTCTTTGAAAAATCATGCCATAAATATTTAATTTAACAGTGGTGCAACTTGAAAAGATTTCTAAATAAATACAAATCAGTATTTTCCAAAAGCAGCTAATAAAACATGTTTATTTTTCCTCTTGAGAAGCCTAAAGTACGTCCTTGAGATGCGTAACAGAGTTTCCTGATGATGATTAGCAGATCTCGGATACAATGAATTTTGCAGCAGAACACTTCAGAAGAGGTTGGGGATACATGCAGATACGTGACTAAAGGAGATTTTGCACTCCAGAAGCAGGCAGTGTTCTTGCTTAAATAATATCAAGGACTTGGCAAACCATTAGTGGGACTTTTTTTTCCTTACAATTAAAGATTTATGACATACTTTTGATTTTTTTTGCTAGTAGTCTAAATGCCGTGCCTTTTAAATGGCATGCTTAAATTTCTGTGTTCTGCATTGTTCTTATATGCCATGCATTCATTGCCTTTGTTCAGCATTGTTCCTCTGAGAGGTGAATGGCTAAATACTTTCCCAGTAATACGAAAATCAGGGTAATTTATATGCAATTATTAATAATAATAAACCCCCTGAACATTACTTATTAGAAAGTGAATGAAGCACGTAATGTATCTTTATCCAGGAGGCATCTGCAGAGATCTTGCTAACCGTTTGGGTTTGCAGTGATTTACGGTCCTGCGTGTTTGTCTTTATATGTCTGAGACATTTATTACGCTGCATTTGACTGCAGTAGCACCTCGCAGAACCATGCTTTGATCTGGTCCTTTAGTTCATCTGAGTTACAGTCAGATTTTAAAGAGCTACTGATTTAGTCCTGATCCCAATTAGATACCAGTGCCAAGTTGCAGGGAGCTTTACAAGCTGGGAAAGGAATACTCGTTCTTGGTGATTAAAGCGGCACTCCTGTAAACGTACAAAATTAGGAAAGTAGAAGGGTTTTCTGATAAATAAATATCTTCATTGCTTTCCTTCTGGAAGCCAAGATTTTGCATACCTCACCAGGTTTGGACAGCTGATGCAGCCAAGTTTGTCATGTGTCTTAGGAATCATCTTCATATACAGTATGTGTAGCGCTCTGGAAATAGGAAGTTGATCCCCATTTCCATCTTTCTAATTGCCCCTTGCTATAAAATACTCTGTGCTGTTATTTCCACATAGAGGACTTCAGATTATCTCTAAAAAAATGGTTACCCTGGCCAAGCATGGCGCAATCTTGGGGTGGTTTTTTATTTTTTAAAATGACATAAACTAGCAGTTACAGTGTTAATCAGTTAAAATATTGGAAAAGGTTTTGTTTACTGATGTGATAATGATAAGCAAATTTTACACTCTTGTAAAAAGTTGTTGATTTGCAAGAAATTTATAAAGAGCTGGAATGCTAAGCATGGTCCCAGGAGTATGCCTAAACTGGATATTCTTTCAGTTGATGGTGCCTTTAATATAGCTTTGTTGCTACTATAATCGCTTAACAATTACTCGGATTCTAAAGATGATGTAGTTTATCTACATAGTATTTCATTAAAAAATCCTGATTTTGAAATCTCAGAAATGTTTGGTATTTTCTGAAATTTTGTTAGGAAGGAACTTTCAAAGAATTCTTCCAAAGATCATGCAGATTTCTCCTTTTTAGATGAGTAGACATTATATACATCAATATTTTTAGAAGCAAACTGGATTTTTGAACAGGTTTCTTGACTGTGAATGCTGTGCAACTTTTTGAGTTTTAGCAAAAGTCATACTTTTCTCAGACACTTCTCCTAGAATTATACTGGGGTTTTACTTACTGTATCTGTCAAGATGGTAGAAGACTGGTTATGACAATGTAAGCGATTTTAGGAAATTTTATGTTGTGTAAATGTATTTCATTACATTTCTTAATGTAGTTTTGTTCCAGTGGGTCTCACAATCGGTGCTACATACACAAAAGCCATTTCATTCTCTGTGTGTTAGAGATGTGGCACAGTGGATGTTACCGTAATAGATGTTGCAACTTTAATTTCAATTACCAGTTGCACAGTGTATCTTCACTAAAGTCTTCTGTGCATGTGAAGCATAAGAATAATATGTTGAACTCCTAGAAAAGAACAATTGCCACTTTGAGCTACTTAAAACCTGAACTCCAGTTAGAGCTGTGTCGTACGCTGTAGCTCTTCAAGTCCGGTACAGATGGTTTTAGGTCTGGAAGCTTTTGGTTAGAAGCTTAATAATTTATTTTATGTTTACTTGAGCTGAATCTTACGACGTTACTTGTGAAGTGAAATATGTTGTACCAAGAAAATGTGGGAACAAGAAAGCTTTCAAGTCACTGTTTTTTAAAAATTTTAAGCCTATCTACTGCTGTGTGCTTGAAATTGGTAATGATATCAGACAAGACAGGATATATTATCAGGGGAATAAATGTGTCAGGTTAATCTCCTGAAGAATTTGCCTTGGAAGAAATGAAGCAGGACTGCGAAGCACAGCTGAACCCGTAGTAATGAAACAAGGTTGTTCTGAATGGAAGCATATGAATATATAATAGAAAAGCAAATCATGCCTGCTACGAATATGACAAAAGCTCTTGGTAGAGATCTCAGATTTGATTAGATTTGGAAATTCACCTCCAAGTTCTCTCCATGGTCTCAGTTGCATTTATGTATTTGCTAGTACACGCTGGCACGTGGCTTCACCTGTGCTTGGGAGCCACGGGATCTGGATGTTGCAAACTATGCGTTGACAGTACCGGGGACTTGTTCTGCTGCTCAAGTACCTGCCCTGGGCTGCACGCTTTCAATTAGTATCTGCTCCAGCTACATTTTTCTTGGCTTATCAACGGGTGTCACGACCCCAGAAAAATCCCCTTTATTATTAGGGAGAATGTGTGTAATACTTTACTACAGCCTAATGTTCAGCACCTCATTTAACCTCAGAAATTACTTGATACTTTTTTGGCTCTAATTGGAATCACATTCTCCTGGGCGGGTAAAATATGGGCAGAAACCAAATTTAGGTGCTTTGTAGGAGCCTCATGATCCCACGCTGCAGATAGAGCCCGGGGAGACAGAGTCGCTGCCCACCTTCGGTTACAGCTGGCCCTTTCTGGTGTCCAGGATGTGATTATTA